AGGTTTATTTAGCAGTGAACTGCACTCTTAGGGTTCCATCCTCCACCTATTTTTTGTCATATTTAATGAAACATGGCTATATCACTGGCTGACAATATGGTAAGCTATGGAGTTGTGCCTCGAATGTAGACTGATTTTTTTTTTTTGTATATACATACGTGGTGGTGATTGATTGCCAGGTGATCACCGGCAAACTAAATACTTCATTACTGGAGAGTGGCATAGATATTTTATTTCTGCTATTTGTATTTTCCTTGTGCACAGACTTGAGTGATTCATCTGAGAAATAAAATGGATTTAATCTGTGTTCCATACTACAGGAACACATACTCAGCTGGCACAACTGATACCACTGTCTGAAAAAACCTTAAGCTTAAGGAAAACGCTGAGTAACCACTGATCCATGCTGCCTTCCCACGAAGAACATAAAGCTTATGCTACTGGGTTTTTGCAGAACACAAGGTTTTACCAAAATTGCTTGTAGCTGTACGATTACAAAAGCACTGTTCTGTGATGAGGGGAAGTGAATTTGTTGAAAATAACCCAAGCCAGAAAAGATTATTTTTCAGCCTGTGCTTATTAAACTGCTCTTTAAGTGCAGTGTGCAATCACTATCTGCAATCTGCAGTTCCTTCCTGTGCTACAGCACCAGGGAGCTCTGGAGGCAGAAGGGGAAGACAGGATCTTTTTTTTTTTCTTGAAGGTCTCGGATATATCACACTGTGTGTTTGTTTGCACAGTGGCTAAAACAACCAGCCTTGGCCCCCAGTGTGTTTACCTCGTACTATGACATAAATAGTATCTACAAAGAGCACCAAAAGACGAGTCCACAGTACAGCTCAGGGGCAATATCTAGGCTGGTGATTGCTGGGAGATGCTGCAAACCTTTTCTTCAAATAAAGCAAAAACCCCCATTTCAAAACAACCATTCTTCCCTCAACTTGCACTCCTTCTCTCCCTGCTGCCTGCCTTGCTCCACCCCCATTAACAGCTGTTCCACACACCATTTTCTGACTACACCTGGCCAAAAATCAACAGTCAAGAAATGTGGGAGACAGAGAGATAAAGACATTTCCTCCTCTTCCTCTCACCTGTGGGTAAGGTTGAAAAGGGAGAAAGGAGAGAACCTTGTGCCATCGGGCAGGGCTTTTGCTAGGGATACAGGGTTGACAATGCCAATGACAGGCATCAGGATGTAATCCTGATCGCTTTATTTTGCCTTTATATAAATAGATTCCATTTGAAACAGCCTTCATAGCACAGCACTAAGTGGACCCAGTGGCATTTCATTATTTTTGCAGGTTCTGCATTCAGCAGATTTCAAATTTTACAGCCGTTGCCTGGGAAGTGGCCTGTGCTCTGTGGCCTGTAATTCTACCACCGTAACATTAGAAATCGGCAGCAGCTTCCACGATCAAACACCCTCACTGCGGTCACTGCTGCTTGTAGCTGAGTATCTGTGATGGGGTTGCCAGACTCCCTGTGTGCACCCAAGCTCCCTGCAGGAAAGGAAGGCCTTGCTTCTGCAGGGTTTGTTTTGCTCGCTTCCAAGAAGGGATTGTATTGTGGTAGATCCAGCCTGTCTCCTTTTAGTGCTATACTGGAAAGGTTCGGCCTTTGCCCTTTTATTGAAGCTTTTTATAATATAGTTAAAAATACTATCATACAAAGTCTGTGAGTGCCTTCTTTGGGTTTATGACAGAGGGAGCTGAGTATGGGACATTCAAATAACAAGGAGAGAGTTCAGTGTTAGGTGTCATCGTGTGCATGAGGATCAGGCTGTAGCATTTAACAGCTGTGTTTTTCCTCTCTCTCCCTCTCTCTATGCTAATTGAAGGCCTGGATTAAGGGACACCTGCTCAGAATAGTTCCCAGGCAGTCTCACTTGCATGCATTTTCTGGCCTATGGATTTCTGCTTCCTAAATCAAATTGGTTCTGCTGATACCACAAGGGCACAAGATCTCAGTAAAGACCTTACCTCTGCATTCATAAATGGCTTTTTACACAAGCTTCTAGGTGGGAGGTTGTGGTTGGCTTGGGGGACTTGCTTTCTCTTTGCTTAAACAAACAACAGCAACAAAAAGCTCATTTTTAATTGGAGTTGTCATTTACACAGCCCTGGGCCTTGTGCAGATTTGCAGCTGCGTAAGTAAGTGGGAATAGGTAGCAGTAATGGGTGTTTCTGTGACTGTTCAGTGTGTGCCTAATCCCCCTTGTTCTATCTGCTAGAGTTGTAGAGGATTGTGGCTATCCTCTGGAATGTTTGACATATATAACTACTAGCTAGACAGCTAAGAGGAATCCTAAGTGGTAGCCTTTGCTCCAAAATCTCGACAGTTTCATCACATGGCAATTACATTAATTTTAACTTTGGTTTCTCTCTTTCTTTCTCCTCTGTCATAATATAACTAGCTACCTAGGCAGTTATTCCTTGCTGACCCACCTCTTCCCAACCCTGAAACTATTAGGATTTTGAGGCCATTAGCACAGTTTGCACTTTAGTTTGATGATGCCTTCCGCCTCCGCATACAAACATATCTAAATATGCTAGTCAACTGTTGCCTAGAAAAAAAAAAAGTATTTTTTTACACATTACTTGTTATAATATTTATGTTTTCAACTTCCATAGGTGTGAGGTTGAACACCAAACACTGACCTCACTGGTCTCAAATGTTTTGGCTGTGGGCAGTGCTTTCCAGGCATGTCCCTCATCTGATCAAGCTCTCCTTTGCACCAGCTTCCCTCCAGCAGACCAGCCTCGTGAAAGTTAGACTAGCAAATGCCCCTGTGGAAATCTGCAGCATATTAAAAGGCAGGAACTAGCTCAGGGAAAAGGAAAGCGAGTGTTTTTACTTGTTACCTCTATCTTCTAAATCTCCTTTTGAGAACATTACTGCCCTCCTCCTACTTCCTTTGCTCAAATACGTATTGCTTTATAAATGTTAAATCCGTGCTCATGGTCTCCAGGAGCATCAAAATGAACAAAATGACTTTTAGAAAGATGATCATAAAATTATCTAAGGGTTACCTCATCATTTATGTTAAGACCTTGGTTCTTCGCATGTTCTCTGTCACAGCGGTGAAGGTATTTGTTGTAGCCCTCTGGTCTTTTAAAAATGGAATCGTAAGTGGAAACACTCCCTGCCTTGAGAAAAAGGGAGGAAAAAGGCTTATAGGATTGTTCAACTTTATAGAATATATGTACTCAAAACAACAGTTAAACAGCGCACATGCAGCCTTACATGATGGCAGTTGTAACATTACTGAGTTACTCTTAGCAGATTTCAGAATCTTGGAATCTCAGACTTGTTAAGGTTGGAAGGGACCTTTGTGTCATTTGGATAGTCTGGAATAAATTCATCTAGTGATAGTTTTTGGAGCTTTTTCTTTTATGTATACAGCTCATCTCTGAAGTTTCCATTGTGGGAATTTTTCTCTGTTTTCCTTTGTAATCTATTGTAACTTTTGAAGTTTTGGCCATTTATTTATTTATTTGACTTTTCCGTATCTGAACTTTCTATTTTCCTTCTTAAGTGCCTAAACTTGTCAAATGACCTGTCACTGTAATGCAAAGGGAAAGCAGGTAGTTTCAAAATTCATTTGGAGTAAAAAAAAACATAGTTATCCTGTAAGAGAATCACCTTTTAACTTGTGAATAAAGCAGAATTCTGATCAGTCTAGTGATGTGCCAAACTGGTAATGTTGTGAAAGCAAGTAGTGTGCGTAAAAGCATATTTGTCGTGTTTAAAAAAAAGCCCAAACCAGCATATTATTGCATTTATGATATCTGCTGACCTCTTTACCACCTAACAAGTAATATGGAAGACCTGTTCTGCTAAGAAATGTATTAATGAAATGCAATCAAGAAATTCTGTGCATGTATTTCATTTGAAGGAAAGAAAAGCAAAGAAAGACCTCTGTTGTAATATGCTGTTACTTGTTTATGAGTATCATTAAAATATTCATATTCTGGTAAAGATGTCAATTCTTATCACTGATTTTTGTGCACAAATTGCTGCACATCTGAAAAGGAATCTCTTTTGTTGGATTTTTTTTTTGACTATAAGTTTACTTTAGTAAAAAAGTTACTATAATTTTACTGAAAAATTTAGTGTAAGCGTGTAATTTAGCCCTCAAAAAATTCTTCTTTTATGAGTATTACCTTTTCCACTGCTGTGCTCCAAAAATACTCAAATCAAGGCAAGGCAGGCCAAGAAGGCTACAGGAGCCTCACTCTTTTCAGAGCTGAAAACAGAGAGTTTAGTTTTTGGCCTATTTTGCCCTTTTCTCAGAAACCATGAAGCCTCATAGAATTTCAGGCATATTTAAAAGCATCTGATTTATCAGCTGTGTTATGTCCCTACACCCTTGCTTTCACCTTTCCTCCCCACGCTATCATCAATTTTATTCATAACGTTAAAGGAGGTTCCACCAGGAACTAGTAACTTATTTGCTGCCTTGTTCTTATCCACATGGTATTATTTGCCCATTGCTTACTACTTGTGCCAGAGCAGGCAACTTGGTCTTTCTGGAACTTGCAGATAGGTAGCCAGCATGTTATACTGAAAGCCAGCCCTGTCCCAGATAATCTGCTCAAAGATATTCTGCCAGAAATGTAAAGATGCTTCCATGCTCAAGATACTTCTTTACCCCTCTGCACATCAAGCCCCATCTAATCGTGCAGTACCTAGTGGCTGCATATTCTGCATGTTTTGACTGTATTCACGTACTTTGCTAATAAGTCTTTGCTATTTTTTTCTCCTTGTTGTTAAATGCTGACATAGTAGACCTAGGTTGACAGTGTGCATAGGGAAGCTGTTTTTTAAAGCTGCCAGAGCAAGTCAATCTTGTAGAATTGACAAGCAAGTCGTCCTCAAGGTGAGCACCCTCTCCATACTGCTACTAAATTTAAGCTCTTTGCAAGCATTCATTAATATGTCAGGCATGCATATGAAATGGATCCTTCCTCATGTCACAGAAGGGGAAACACAACACAGGCTGCCTACAATAACTTGTGGAAAGCAATATAGGGACATTATATAGGTAATTGTCTCAAAAGGGATCAAAAGGCAGGAGTTCCTGGCTTCTGGCCATATGCTGAGGCTTCCTCTATTTCTGTTTGCTTCAGTCTCTGACATACAGTTGATTTTAGGTCACTAAAGATGAAAAAAGGAATGAAATTTTCTTTCCTATATAAATAAAAATTAACTGTGCAGAAGAATAGTCAAATCTGTCTCTCCCGCCAGCCAAGGCCTGCCTTGTGTAGAAACCTATTAAACAGATGTTATCACTTTCCGTTTCCATGCCACTGGAGTAGCATTTTCTGCAAACCAGGTCATCTGGAGTGTGAAAGCGGACTTTCTATTGTAAACAAAGGCTCTACCATATGGTTGCTAATTTCCTGCAGCCAGGATATATGTTCTCTTTGCAAGTCCCATCGGCTCTGGGCATGTCACAGTCAGCCCTCTGCCCTTGCCTAGCTTTGCTGTGGCGCTCACCTCCCTGCCTTAGTTTGTTAAGCATGACATTAACTCTGCTCGCCAGGTCTGGGCTCAGAGCAACTTCCCACGGAAAAGCTGAGATCTGCATAGGAGAATCTAAGATGATAAATCTATCAATCAGGACTACCCAGTCAATGCTGGAAAGAGATTGGCTCTTTCAAGAAATGTATAAGGGAGGCACTTAGGGACATGATGTAACGGGCATGGTTTTGAAGGGCTTACGGTTGGACTCGATGATCTTGATGGTCTTTTCCAACCATAATGATTCTATTACTCTATGACCAGCTTTGCTCTGGATTCTGCACCCCTTCCAGTCCCCAGGGACATGACCAGCATCCCACATATTGCTGGTCATCACTGGCCAGCGCGCTGCATGTTCAGCAGCCTGCCATTTGGGAGGGGAGATGATCCACAGCATACGTGCACTAGGTTATAACACAATTGGAAAAAGAAAGGGGAAAAAAAAAAACTTCTGAGAGGAATCACTTGAAACTAGAAAGTTTCAATTTGTGAATGCCAAGGGGAAGAGATCAACTCTTTGAGGCCTAAAATGCTCAGTTCTGGAGAGGAGAAATGCTTGTCAACTCGGGATTTCCCTGGAAACTAAGGCTAAGTAGCTCCCTACCCAGGGCTAAATGTTGTGAATCACATTTTAAGACTTGTAACTTTCAGCAAGTGCCATAATGGGAGGTTTAGAGACTTCACACAGGGCTACAGGACTTCATTCCAGTCCTGTCTAAATTTATATGACATTCTATGTGTTACATTATCCGAGAGCCTTTACAAACTTAGGTTAAACTACTCTGCAAGATATAGCAATTCTGAAAGATACTCTGAAATCATTTTTAGTCTTCTGAAAATTATTCTTAAAGACTTGTATCTACAAGTGTTGCAAAACCCAATTGTGTTGGCAGTTAAGACCAGGATTTTATAGGTATTGTCATAAATATATATTGCTATATTACATGGCTGTTACAGACACTTCAGAGCTTTTTATAGTTTTTTTTTTGTGTGTGTGTGTGATAAAGCTCTTCAGTGTCTCATGTGACTATCTTTCAATGGTTTATACCATTTCTGATTAAAAGAAGTAACTAAAGCTTAGATTGATGGCTCAGAGAATGAGGAGAAAAACTCATATACTAAAGCACAAAGCGTTGGGGTGGGGTGAGTCTCCTGCCTTTTTTGTATTAAAGGTGAGCACGTGCCTGGAAAGGGAAGGTCTCATAAAAGGGTTGCTAATAGTGGGTGTTTGACTGGGTAAACAAGGCTCTGCTCCCCCCTCATTTTCTATACGCATGTGAGAAGCATCGGTTACCCTTTGCACAGGCAAAAATTTCTCATACAGTGCCAAGTTACCATGGTAGATTGCCTAGCTCCAAGCAAAAGGGCGACATTTTGTTGTGCCTGATTTAGGAGGACTTTAAAATATTAATGGGATTTCTTTCCAAACACTTGAGTGACTTCGTCTCTTGTGATGAGGCGTAATCCATTATTTAGCGATTAAATGCGATTTAATTAAATTGTGCAGAGGTCTCCCACCAAGTTTTGTTATTCTGCGTCTCCTTATTGAATTCCCCGGGGCTCTCCGCAGCTCTCACCATTTATAATATATAAATTTATTACTGTCCCCAGCCTCCAGATCATGCTCTGGGGAGGAAGCACCTCCTAGCTGTGAAGTGCCTTTTCAGACATACATTGCTTTACTTTGGCGGGATGAGTGCTGACTGTGGGGGCCCATCTCTTCTTAAAATTAGTTCATATATACATACATATGTGCCTTTGGTCCTCACCTTGGCCTCCCGGTGGAAGTAGCTGAGCTCGGGTGCATCCTGTCGCCCCGGCGGGATGTAGCTGAAGGCTGACTGGGCCGACAGCGGCAGCCAGTGCTTCCTCCCGGCCGGAGCAGCCAGCCTCTCCTCTCCCTGCTCCTCATCCTCATCCCTCTCCTCCTCCTCCTCCCTTGCGTGCTGGGAGCTCTGCATGGCTGCACGGAGCGGCCCTCGGAGGAGGCCTGGCCCTGTTGTGCGGTCTCCAGGTAACGCTGGCTGGGAGCAGCGCCAAGGCCAGCAGCAAGGCCGGAATTGCCACAGAATTCCAGTGGCAGAAATTCCTGGAGACTTCTGGGATTGCGAGTCTAGAGGAGCTTGGGGCAGCTCACGCCAGGGACCCCTGCATCAAAAGCTTTGGTTTGTAGTCAGCTTACCAAGGAGAAGAAATGGAACCTGCTCCACTTTAGGGAGTAGTATTACCCTCCTGCGACTCGACTGCTAAGACCTCTGCATTTTGAACAAGACAATTTGTATTTTTAGAGCCAGAAAGTAGTTGAGGCTCAGCGATTTGGCTCACGTCCTTGCAGTTTGGCCTCACTAAGTGTCAGATCGCCGTGTATATCTGGCTCTTCTCCGAGCCATGAAGCACCGATGGACCCTTCCAGCAACTGCTGTAACCCATCGTCCTGGCAGGAGAGGCTGCAACAAAAATGATTCCCACATTGCTGCTGAATTTCCTAGATTCTCCTGCTTTGAATATGGCACCAGTCCTCTCTTTCGTGAGGCCAAGACCAAGGCCATCATTGCACACAGTGCTTATTTCATCTGGAGCCCCTGTTAGCCACAGCGCACGCTTGTCCCAGACAAGGGGGCACTTTAGGGCGCTCTAGATTAGAGGGAGGCAACTGTGCATCACCAGCAATTTAATTTTATTTTTTTTTTACATTTTTACAGGGTTTTTATTCTCCCTCAACAACTCAGTACAATTTTTAATTTCCTTAAATATATCTGCTGTTTTGAATGAGTCTCTGCACAACTGCACGACTGAGCCTCAGTCTGCAGATTGCAAATGCTTCCTGGTGGGCTTGTTCCTGCGATCCTTACTGCTTGACCGGAGAATCAGGCTTTTCAAGTATATTATGATAATAATTTTTACTCTAAATGTTTAAAAACAATTACACTCCAAAATGATGACTGGTTGCTATAATTTGCAGTTACTAATTTTGTGCTGACTGACAGTTGCTCAATGGGTACTTTAGCTCACCATGCCGAATGAACTTTCACAAACATAAATAAACAGAATAATACTCAATTTTACACACCCAGTAGACATCACAATTTCTGTTTATAACAACTGATTTAAAATGCAAATGGGAAAATGCCTAGTGCAGGAAATGTCAGTCTTTCAAAATACTTCACATTTACTTCTTCCTGTCAAAGCTGAATTTTCATGCAAAACATCTCAATTGTCATATTTTATCTTTGAAAACTGCTCCACTAGGGATTTGCAAACAGTTCTTGGCAGAGGTTTTGTCAAGACAGTGGACAGTGGCATTCCACAACTCAATGGGGTTCATACCTTCAAAATTTCAAACAGAATTATAATGTCATTGTAATGCATTTTGAGATAGTAAAGACCAAATTTACTTGAGTAATTCCTGGCCCCAAATTTGAATAATTCTAAAATGAATATGGAAAAAACTTCAGAGTGTAGCAGCTACAGTTGATTTCTACACTCTTTGGGACAAATCCACAAAAGTTGAAAGTACTTAAGGAAAAGTACTCCTTTAAGTACTTGTTTTATTTTAAGGCACATAAAGCTTTCTTCTCTACTTTTGTTTTCTCCACTAGCTTACACAAGAAGGGATAGAGGACCGTCCTTCAAGAGCCCAGCCTTCAGAGCCCAGCTGTTTCTCCAGCAATGAGCAGGTTGTGCTCCTTTCTGGATACACCTCGCCATACTTCTGTGGGAAAAGCTAAAGACCACAGTTACATGGTTAGTCCATAGTTACACAGTTACAAAATATAAATGAAAATGAAGAGAAGGAAAGCTGATAAAGGATAAATAGGATGTAATGTAATCCTGACTGCTTTTGTAGCTCTCCAGTTACAGAAGCAGATGAAATTGCTGGAGGAAAGGAAGAAAGGATAAAATCAAGGGGTCAAGCTAGACAGGGGAAGAATAAAATAGTATAAAGAGTAGAAGTATAATGAACTTGGAGACAAAATTATTTATTGGATGGAAATCACTTCATGGCATTAGAGAGATATTAATAATTATACTCAGCAACTGAAGACTTTAGAGAGATGGTATGAACCATCCTTTGCCTGGGGCACGAAACTGCCTGGCTATTTATCTTTTGCCCAGCAGGATTTGCCTGCATAGTAGCAAGAGCCTGAATGCAGCTATAAAATGCAGCTACGAAATGCCTGACATGGGTTTTCTGAAAATTTCTGAATTTCTATTTTAACTATACTTAACATTTGAAAAATAGCAAAAGATTATATTACTGTATACCTTATTATTTATAAAGTAAAAAATATAATTGGAAGCAGTAATTGTTTTTTAAATAGGGAGATATAACAATAAAAAGGATTTTGAAAGGCATTTTCATCGTGTTCTTATATTTATATATATCTTCCTTTATATGTCATTGGACCAGCCAGTTCATGGCCATTCAAATGTTTTAATGTTTTATGGCTTACAGAAATACAATCTTTTTCGACTTTTATAAAAATAATAGAAGTCTATCAAGTTAGGTACGAGGTTTGCTACAGATTCACAAAATGTGCAAGAATACAGTTGAAAAGCACAACCTTGAATGTGTAGATTATACCTGAAAACTGCATATAGTTATGACAGTACAATATCAACTTCATCAACTTTACATAAATGATTTTCATCCACAATTAGAAATGATTACTTTGACTTGTGATAATACCAATATGATTTAAAGGGCTCAGAATCCATTCAGGGTCTAAGAGAGAAAATATTTTTGTATGAACAAGAGTATGTTCTGGCAAATTTATAGTCAGTGGATGGGGGAGATTAGGAGAAATCTCAAGCATAGTTATCTGATAGGTGGGTTTTGGAAGTGACCAGGAAATTATTTCTTATGGATCAGTGAGCTCTTTCATTCAACTGGAAAATATTTACCTTAATTTATTAATTAGGAAGGAATGATAAGGACAACATTTTTGTTTTTAATGGGAACTTTATTAGACTAGTACCTATTTTGAAAGTTACTGATCAAGAGTTTCCAGTGTTGAGTGAGATGTCCATTGTGCTATGTTGCACATCTGAATAACTTGCACTTGGTTTCAAACTAACTGAAAATGATCCAAATTAGACAGTCTATCCTGCTGCAAATAGTGACATTTTGAAATTTGCTGCAATTCCAATTTACCAGTGGGCAGCTGGCTGCCGTGAGTGACCCACACCACATTCACGAAGGCTGTGCCAGATGCCATTTATTTGTGACCCACAATTTTGAGAACTTCTCAAGGGACAACAATACAATACAAATGGAAATACATGTTTCATGACTGAGGAATCTGAAAGACTGTCGTGTGAATACCTTCCTTTTTACACTTCACTAACATGACAGAGCTAGCAGTGTGCAAGCTGACATCTATATTCATGACTTATCAGCCAGAAAAATAAATTATTGTAATTTAATGTTATTTTTGAAATAGGAAGATTTTATTAATTTTGTTCTTGTTAGGCTGTTATGACTAAAAGAATGTGTTAAATTTGATGCTGATAATAGCAAAGCAAATATACCTTTATAGGGGCCTTCAAAGGCACATAGATAGTACAATTAATTACATTCTTTTTAAGGATTTCACCTGTCCTTCTCCACGAAAGTTTGCCTTTATGATACTTCTTAATTCAGCAAGATTTCAGTTATCTAGCATCTTTAGTTATCTAGCACTGTTATGTCTACCACTCATAATTATGTTTTGGTAAGTTTGATATTATTTTAAACATCCCATGAAATCCAGCATTGTAAGGTAAGTGAAAGGCATGCAAGGGCAAAAGAGGACATCAAAGTGCAAAATTAACAAACAACCCCAAATCTTTTCCTCTTGTACAGCTTCTAGCTAACTGTTTGAGCATGGCAGTCCTGTTGCAAGGCTACACTGCTACCAGCATCCTCCGCTTTGCTTGTTTTCATGGATTTGAGGGCAAGTATCACCCAGGGAGCAAATGGCTACCAAATGCCTAGATTATCAGCCGTGGCTGAAGATAACAGAACAGATTCAATTTCTGACAAGACTTAGCAAGCCTAGCAGATATTAAGGCCTTAGGCTACTGAAACAGTCAGCTACAGCCTGCCACCGTATCTAACTGCTGAATAAAAAGCAGCAGCAACAAGAGACCGCAAACTGAGAGTGAGAGAAGCCATGGGAAGGAAGCAAAACTAAGAGACAGCAACACTAAGGCAAAGTACATATAAACTTTTAATGAATTAACCTTACAAAAGACAATAGCTTCAAAACATTTGACACGTTTGTACAAAACTGTTCCAGCGTTGTTCTCTCCCAGAAAGGATGCCAGCAAGCCACCTAACGTGTCCCCGGCTATGAGATGCAACTGGTGATGATGTCCAAATCATGTGTGGACAGAGTAAATTTATTTACAAATACTGTATATTTTGATATCAGATTAGTTGATGCTATTGGGGAGCTACCATATTTTCCAGAAAACACCATGCATCAGAAAACAGTATGCACCCCTAGTTTTATTGCCATTTTTTCCCCCCATTTGCCACTAACGTGTCTTTTTGGTCCTTTCAGGATGAGTTACCTCCAATTTCTGTTCCTTCTTTTCTTCTCTTCGTATAACAGTGCAAGTTGCAGTACAATCTTTCAGTCCTGTAGCGTGCTACACAATTGTCCTCAAACATAGGAATATCAAATGATGGATCATGGGACTATTCTGCAGCCATATTAAAATAAGTGCCACATACCAGAAAATAGCACGCATGTTAAGGGCCAAAATGTAGTTAAAAAGTGCGTGACACTTTCCTGAAAATACAGTATTGATGACATCTATAAACATTCTTCAGGATGCCACATTCCCTTGTGAAAGGGATCTTGTCATTTCTGTATGTACAAAGTATGTCTTCAGTTCTCCTTTTCCTTTTACATTTATTATTCCTCTACAAGTGCTCATGTACCCCAATGTTTGTAGGACATTGTTTGTCTCCTCTGTAACCTGCAACAATACAGTAATAAAACCAACATTGATAAAAGAGCAGACCAGAATCTTCTTTCACGATATGCTGAGAACATCAGTGCTCCACAATTAAAAGGGATTTGCCATCATGTTTTAGCAGACCTTCAAAGTTGAGGATGGAACACATGAGCTTTCAAATAATCTATTCCTGGGCGCCCATTCTAGTTACTTACAGCACGTATTATACTGAGTATAACCAGTTTTGTATCTAGCATTGAAAACAGGTCTTGCAGACACACAACTGGCACTAGGGACAACATTTATCCTCATACACCTTTTTTTCTGATCTTTAAGAGCTGTTTTTCATTTCAGTAGACTGAAGCTTCCCCATCTTTTTGCAATTATTAAGCCTGTGTTAACAAAGTGAAAGTGAAATACTAGCATCATCTGTCAGAGCTGCTATTACCGGTTTTTCATATAAATCTGACAGCAGTTCCTAAATCTTTAAATCTTCCAAGCCAGAGGTTGCTTGATAGCATCATCTGTCTTAGAGTGACTGCATTTCTTTCAAATGCAAACAAATGTTTGCAGATGGCATTACTTTGAGGTCCATCCTCTTTTCAGTTTTGATCAAGAGTCAAGGTCTAATTTTGCATTATTTAGTTCTGATTGGTCTCAATTACACATTTTGTGTGCTCTCACTCACAGACTGGGACCTCACTGGGCGTGACAACGTACAGACAGATAACTAAAATGTGATCCTGGAATATGAAATGCCTGGAAAAATCTGAAGGTCTTTTCCACACAAGTTTATCTATAAGATATACAGATGATTATATATACAGATTATTAATCTGCATATTTCAATAAAGTGAAAGCTTCATCATTGCCTTTAATCTGACGTACAGCTGTAATGGATATTTCCTTTAGTAGAAATGATAAACACTAGGAGAAATAACAAACATTAGGAGAGTACTTCACAAATGATGTAGTTAACACTTCGCAATTGGAAAGGCACAGAATACAAACGAGATTCCCCTCAAGTCATCTTTTAATCTGGTACTGTATTTCTTCCACTATATTCCTCTATAGGGTTAAGATAAAGTTTGGATTTTCCTCTTGTTTTTTCCTATACTTTTTCTTTTAGTTCTTTACTTTCATGCCCAGGTTCTAATACTCTTAAAATGTGTATAAAATGTGCATATACAGTTGATAGTTTTTTTTTTTCTTTTTTTTTTTCTTTTTTTGGTGGGCATCCTCAGCTTCAGTGATACAACCTGCTTAATGCACAAAAACATGATGGTTTTTAAGCACTAAATCCAAAGGATTAAGATAAGTATGTGTAGAAAATCAACACTACCTGTATTTTATCTAAGACACCAGTGCTGTCCATTCGACTGGCCACATTTACTGTATTGCCCCAGATATCATATTGTGGTTTCTGAGCTCCAATTACTCCAGCTATTACAGGTCCATGATTAATACCTGAAAAACATCAGAACTTTATGTTGAAAGAAACTCTCAACCAAATTAGGACAAGTAGTGTATCCAGTAATGTATCAGCTAAATGAACATGGTATTTGGCCTGTGCGAAATAGTGGGCACAACAACCAGTGGCCTTTCCACAAGTATTTTACCAACAATATACGTAGAAGGATGTTTATGAAAGTGACAACAGTTAGTCCCTCTAACTTTAGTCTTACTACTCCCTGCCATCCTCAAAAACTTACATATTTTCTGCCATTTTCTGTCCTAATAACTTGTTACGTGCTTTATGATATAGCATGAGAAACATATGTAGGGAGAGGAACTACTTCTAGGAAAACAGAATTTCTTTTCATTTCTATTTGTAATGAGAAGGAATTCTTCTGTCCGCAAAGAACTGATGACCAAATCATTCTTCACTTCTTAGCATAGAATGAACTAATGTTAAAGAACTGGAAGGGTTTGAGGCCTCATTCTAAAAGATGGATTGCCTATAGTCTGTTTAATGTATATGGAGTAAAAGTAATGTATTGTTAGCTCTCAGGAGGCAAAACTAACAGAACTATCTTTAATTGGCATCTTCCTGGTATTTAATGAAAGTTTGGACATGGTGTTTTGAAACTTTTTTTTTTCCATTTCCTCGCTTCATTAAGCAGAGAAGTCAAACTTCTATGGTACTTACAGCAAACACTTTAAAATCACACTTGGGCATGCTTTTTTTTCCCCTTAGAAAATGAAAGCTTGGCTCATGAAACTTGCTTTAAAAGCATCAGTGTGGCTATAATGAATTTGTTCATTTAGCTCTTGCATGCAGCAGCTCTTCATCTGCCCTAACACTGCTGATAAAAGTATGTTTGCAAGTATGTGACAAGTACTGTCAAGAACAGAGCGAGAAGATGATTTTTTGATTTTTACTCTTGACAGGAATAAGGGATCTCTACATGGTTTCTATAAACTCGTCAACTGTTGTAACACTTGAAAAAGGAGACACACACTACATTTGCTTTATTTTTTTTTTCTTTTAAGCTGTGGCAAGGAATACAGACAAAGGCTATTAGCTTTTAGTGCTTTAAGAAGCACATAAATATTCAAGCTTGGCAAATTGCACACTTTGCCAGTGGGTGGCACTGTGAAATAAATATGAATGCAGTCAGAAAGAGAAGCAAGCTGCCCAGCAAGGAAAGGACAAGAAAGAATAACTGCACTCAGGTTGGCACTCAAATACTTCAGAGATATTTACAATATATATAGACTTCCAGTATTTATATATTGCTTTCATTTCACAGTTTCCAAGTTACATATTGCATTGTAAATCTGTTGTGTGCTATTACAAGGAAATAAACATTTTTGAACACATGGTTCTTGACCAGTTCTGAATTAATTTATTTCAGCATCTTTTCAGTGGCTTGCTGCAGTACTGCCCTTTCTTAAATACCATAATGCACAAGGAGAAGCTATGAGAAGCTGAAATATAAGTGATACCTCTAACAAATATAAACAGCAAGTAATCTTTGCTCTTATTTGTCAATAACCACAGCACAATAAAAAAGGGAAATGCCCTCCTTTTTTAACCCTGGGAAAGAAGGGGGGGATTTCTGTATGCTTGCTTGAGGTTAGTACCTCTAAAATGTTTTAGACTCTGACCTCACTGGCTGTTTCTAGGTCCTGTCCTCCAAAGTCGTTTATGCGATTTTGAACACCGAGCTAGAGTCTGTCTCCTTTGATATTGAAAAACTTTAAAAAATTAACATGATTAACAATCTTGAGAACAATGATTGTAGAGTTTACCATAAAACCAAGACTGTGGAACCATATTTTCCAATTACTATCAACTTCCAGATGCTGCCATTTTTTGAGTGCCTGACTCGAAACACTTTTTGCTACAACAGCAGCTATGGTTTGTTCAGTTCTACTAATTAGTTTTTAATCAGCTAGTATTTCACCCTGATTTTTTTTTGCCCTTCGTAATATTCTCATGCAAATCCTGTGATACATACCCACTCGTAACTTGAAATCATTGAATGAATGCTTGTTTATGACATCCAGTTTTGCAACTAAGGCAAATGCAAACTCCACCATGGTCCCTATGTGCATATACTGTCGTTCGGGTTCCTGAATGTAAACAGACAAACAAACAGAATGAAAATGTTTTAACATTAGTTGCTGGGAGAACACAGGCTAAATGCATTGAATACTTAAAGCACTTAATCCCTTGCTGTTTAAAGACTTGGTAAGTAGCTGTCTATGCAAACAGAATGTATATATGTACTAATAATAGGCCGAATTATAACCTAGCTGATTGAAGCAAAGTACTGGACATAGCAGAGTATAGAAAATGCATGTAATTGAATGCATGGATTCTCTTCTGCTTGAATAACTGAACCTGTTTCTCGCATGCTTCTTTTCAGTAGGGTCTTCAATTGCTAGGTGGATGAAAATACATTTTTGTGGCAAATGTCCTGCCATCAGGAAATCCTAGCAAGCACATCACAGCTAACCTCAGCTGCAGGCTGGAAGAGGTAAAGTGCACAGAAAATGTTGAATATTTGTAAAGCATGTGTCAACATTTCCTCCTGCCTTAGCTAGTGCTTGTTCTGATAACGTAATTACAGAGTTTGGTGTCATTAGCTACCTTGCTATTTACTCAGGATTAAGCAGGTATTAATGCCTACGCTTAGCCTTATAGGGTAATTTATACTCAAACAGTTTCATGTGAGTTCAAGAATGCCTCTGTGGGCTGTAGCTTTGCCTGGGCTGGGCTGGAGAAGCAGACTAGAAACTGCCAAATAGACACATCTGTCGTATCCATGGATTTTTGAGCATCCAGTCTCTACGTTTTGCTGGACTTCTATTCAGAAACCACCAAAGGAACCCTAAAACTTGGGTCTCCTGAGTGTCAGTTTCTGGAAATAACTCAAAAAATAAATTTAATTTAGTCTAGATTCTAATTGAGAACTCCTCTATGTCTTCTCATCTCCAGTCAGCATTGAAGTACTTCCTTCATTTTCTTCTCCTCTCTGTATTGAATGTCAGAGCTAATTTAAATTATTCCTTTGTGTTCTCTGGCTTCCTAAGGCCTAAAGCGCAGGTGTTAATTGCTTCTGCCTGGAAGGAACATGAGTTTGGCAGGAGCACATTAATCCTTCACAGAGAATGTGTTGATTCTTAATTGCTCTCTCTCTGTTGCTGACCTGTAGTGCTCTGAAGATCGTGGCTTGTACTTTAAAGGTATGAATTACTTCTCTGAATTTCATTTCTAACAGTTCCCAGTCTTACCATAAGATTAACCAGAGACAGAGGAATCTGCTTTCCATGATGAACCTTGCTTCTCTAAGCATACAGCTAATACAGCTATGCTGTCCTCCCAGCTTACATCAGAAAACAGCAGCCCTTGCAATAAACCAAACTCCTTCTGCTGCAATATGCAGCAATTGCATAGAGTACTGTATTCAGAGTAAAAGGCCATACTAGGCTTAAAAAATACAAAGGTGTCATTTTCAATAACAAGACTCCTGAACAAAAGTACTTATCCAGTGTAATACAATCTATATTATTAACAAAAATACATGTCACAGTGTTATGCATATCCTGAAGTTTAATGAGCAGAATTTCAGGATCACCTGAAAATAATTTTTACGACATGGAAACATTTTCTGGTACCTGGCACTGTTCTTGGTTGGGTGTAGCACTCAGTCCCGTTGCTGCCATGTAAGTGCTTCCAATGGTCTTTATCTTTTCAACTCCACTGAACTTTGGCTTAGACAGTAGCTGTAAGACAAGAATCGTTACTCTGTTATTCAGATCAGCAAACTTTCGTTGTTAGGTGCTACAAATTGGTGCTAACAGCATCAATTCTTCTAACAGTCTTTTGTGAGACCCCAAGTAGCTTCAAAAATATACAGGGGATGAAGGATAAAACAATGGATATAGCTCACAAGAAATGAGCATCCCTGTCTGTTAAAATATTTATTTTTTTACTGTAAAGTAGCTAAAATTATAGTAAAGATGTTAAATCAATAATAATATAGTAAAGAGATTAAAATCAGTGGTTTTGCACACTCATTTGAGAGCTGAGTCACCATGTGAGCCAACAGCTAAGCTTTACACAGCTTTCTGCAAGTAAATATCTAACAAATGGAAATAGCAGTGTAAGGATGTTTGTTCATGCCCAATGTTGCTTTGAACAATTCCTTGTTGCCCAAATGGGTTTTCTTTCAGCTAAAGTTCCTCCTATGGCTGCAGACAAGTACAGCTGCAGCCTGTGCTGAGCTGTAACATTATCTTAATGCCTTTTTCTGGTATCTTCATCACCAATGATTTTCTTCATGACAAATCCTGTTTCTAATAAGGCTTTTAGCACTGTCTTTCTCACAGTCCAGCAGCAGTCATACACCCTGCTTGCAACTTTAGAAAACGGGACATGAAAACCTATCAATCAACTAGAATTTGCTCATAAACCAACCAATCAATGTGCTGTGTAATCAAACTGACATAGCTCAGGTATGGCACAAGGCTGTAAAATTTAAAAAGGTGTAGATTTAAAACCTGACTTTAGGCACTGGTGTTTGGAAACTATAATTAATACCTGACATATAATGTGGGTGTCTCAAGATGGGATTCTCACTGCAGAGAAGTGAAATCAATGGAATTTGATCTGAGATTGGTATCTATCTACTTCATCTCATATAAGTCCCTTTCTCCTTTAAAACTCCCTGTAATCAATTTCTGCTAGGCTCGTGAACCCTCTTTCCTGACAGCTCTTTGCAGACCATTACCTAGACATGCTCACTGTTGCACACCCTGGATTATTAAGACTGAAACCGTATGTTGATTGTTGTTAAAAGTACATACATCGTCAAAGTCAGCAATGATTTCATTTAGTAGCCTGAGACATTCCAAGCCTTCCTTATTTACATCAGATTCTGTGTAAAATTCTTTGAAATCCGGAATAGAGGCAAACATGACACAGACACAGTCATATGACTGATGATATAGATCCTGTCCAAAAGAAAAAAAGGAATAAAGTAAAACATCCACAATACCCATCTCTAAAAGTTTTTTTAAAAAATCACTGTCCTAGCACTTAGATGGAAAGCCCTATGCCTCTGTTGTGTTATTTTTTTCCATTTAGATGTATTTAGTGGTTTTTGAACAACTTATAAACCTACCTGTTAGACAGACTTAGCATCTTTATGCTAAGAAGAGAAAATATTTGCAGTGATTTAGTTACCTCTTTTTTTTTTCTCCTTGGTATTAGCTCAATGAACATAAAATATTTTACTAATTTATTATATAGGGCTCATTTCTGAAGCTTTCAACTGAAATAACTTGGTCCAGTTTGCATAGCTGGGACTATATTTTGCAAAATAATCTCCAAATTTTTATTATCTATTTATGTTATTATAAAGTCTAGAAAACTGAAGCAAAATCACGATCCTAAAGCATTACAAATGCATAATATGACACAAGCCTGATGATAGTTTCTAATCTAAACTGACAAGATACTTAACAAGAGAAAATAATTATCATGTCTTTTTCATAACAAGGAGCTGAGTCAAAGGGAAGGAGTTACCTGAACTAAAATTTAGGCAAACTTTTATCATTAACATATCTTTCCTATCAAGACAAATCTATGTCCTGAATACTTTAGGAAGAGGAATACTTTAATAGCAATACTTTAAAAAAGGTATTGATATCCCTACATAAAGTCAACTATAGAATCAAAAGATGCAGTTGGCTATTTTAAAGTCAACTTCTGTATTTATTTGAGTAGAACTTTAATTTCAATACTCATGTCAATAAAGTGAGCAGGATTTGGCCTGTGATTTCAAAAATCCCCAGATATTGCTTCCCTTTTTGCTTATCCAAGCTGTTCTTGCAGTTTCATTTGCACAATGTTTTTCTCTTTTGAAGGTATAATTCATAAATCATGTGTAGAGGTATAGTAAATCGCTATTGGTGATGCCTAAGTGAAAAATAGCAGAACTGTGGGAAAAGTGTTGACTGCCTCTCCTCTGTTCTGCTGATTAAGTGGCTTTCTTTTCAGATCAGGTGTGTGGGAAGTTTCTGCGCAAACATGAAAATAATTTCAGACAAGGAGAAATACAGGCAGTTTTAGGAGCTAAATGACTTACTACTAGATCCTTTTCTAAAGGATTACATAAGCAACATATCACCAAAGCTCTAGTGTGCTTCTGTGCAGTGGGCATGGAGTATATTGCTGCAATTCACTACTGCTCCTTATATTGCTAGAGCTGAAATGGTTAGTGTGTTTGATATCCAGATCATAGCCATATATACAAAATTCGCAGCATTTTAAAGAGCCTGCTTACACATATGAGAAGTTACTAAATAAAATATGCAAGCAGCCTACAAGTCTAAAAAAGCCCAGGAGTTCACTGCCAGATCACCACTAAACTTTGAAGGATTTCTGAATCTCCAACACCCTCTTCCAAGAGAGAGTTTTCATAAAGTATCAACACTGTGATAATGCTTTTCTGTCACCCACTTGATCCATCTCCATAAACACCTGGTTAATTTATTTTCTACTGTGGTATATTTTTCAAGGCTATTTTTTAAAAATAAATTTAATTCACAAAATAAAATAAGCAAACAGCAGGGAGAGGTGAGCCCTTTTGCTGGCTGTCATCAACTCAGTTTAAGTGCTTTAAGCACCTGGCTGAAGTATCTCATTTGAGAGCAAAGTAATCTTATGCATTCTGCATTCGCAGTGCAAGACAGTCACATCTGGAAAGTCATTTTAACATCAGATAGGCAAATCATCTCAGAAAGTGTTTTTCTCTCTCAATCAGTTATAGAAAATGGCCAAAGAAGTCATTTTTCCTACTGTAGATACTCAAGAGGAGTGCCTGCAACTGTATAAGATGACTGACTTCAAGCAGTTCAGGCCCAAAATGGTCTCTTTTTTGCTCTAGGCTCCCACATGGAAAAATGGGTCCTTCTCTGCAATCCCGCACTGCCATCCACTGCTGCCTGCTGTTTTTCCAACACTTGGTACAGACATACTTGTCCTATCTTGAAATTAGTTAAATGCAGCAATAGGAAGCTAGTTGCAAGAAGAAGAGGCTCTGCATGGACTTAAATATAGATAATTAGATAATATAGATTATTAATACTCAAAACATGCATTATTTGTGAAACTCGAGCAGTCAAAATAATCAAGTTGCATACATCTCGGATCATACATCCTTTCAAACAAAATGTTCATCTTCCTACTACCTTGAATAATCCAGCAGGATCACAAATTAACAGTAATGCTATCATTAATATTAAAACACAGTGTTGTTGTCCTAGATTCTGTTAATCAGTAATAAAATGTTGCTTTAATTCATGACATAAACATTAGAAGGCAGCTGTTTTATTTACTTTCTGAATTTTCCTGCTTTTGTGCCCTGTGATCAGAAAATATGACAGAATTACCTTACTGATGCACTTGTGGTTGTAAAGTTCATAAAAAACACAAAATCTAGGCACAGTGCTAACACCGGGGTAGTGCCATATCTGAAATAGCGCATGGAATTTAACACTAATAAAGATTTTATCCAGGTAAACGTATTTTTTAGAATATAAATTCAAGTTAAGACTACAGGTCTAGTGTTATAACTGCACCTTAACAGGAGAAGGAGACCAATAATGCAGGCTGTAGAGATGTGATAATGATATACATAGTATTGAGGATTGTAAAGCAGAGATGGTAGAAGGAGGCACTCGCAACAGAAGAGCCAGAAGATAAACAGGACATTTAAAAGTTGAATTAGGAAAAACATCTGTATAAAAATATATAAATTTTGTGTGACTCAGTGTGGTTCAAGAGCATTCAAGATGAGAGCTTAGCAGGTTAAAATCCTGATTGCCTATGTGTATAACCAAAAAAAAATGTTTAGCTGAAAAGCCTATAAAAAGCATTTCGAGAAGTTAAATGCACCCTTAAATTTATGAACAAAAGTACAAAGGGTGAATAGCAACGTCAGTTGCCCTTGAACCTCTGCTGAAGTATCCAGCACCAGGTACTGCCTGAGGCCCAGAGTTAACCTGATGGGGCTGCTGATGGATGTGCAGAAGAGCCGGCAGTCCTATGGATGGCACACGTGGAGCCCTGGGGGCATCAGGTATTAGGAGGGGTATTTGCTGTCTTCCCTCACAGTAGAAATGCTGCCCTTGAAGAAATGATGGCAATGGGCACTGTGCACTGTTGTAGGGGAAAGAATGAGACTAAGCAACAGACAGGAGCAGAGGTCTACACAAAACTGTTGTGGTGGCATGGGGAGGATTACTATTTTTCATGCCAGCCTATGCAAAAGGGATGCCCAACTGTTATGCTTCCAGGCACTAAGTTCCCTTCTCTATAGAGCAGTGTTATTACTCCTCCCTTTCTTCCACCTCTAGAATAAATTACTGAATTTGGATGTAACCTGTCATAGGACGAAGCTAACAACCCTGTCCACATCTCTATTCCTTCCTCTTTGACACAGGGCAATATCTATCCCTGCTAATGCTGTGTAGCATGGTACCCGCACAGAAACAAGTGGTGCCGTTTATAGCTAGGCGAGTGCTCCCAGCTAGTTCATTTATTTTGATCATTCACATAACAAAACCTGCAGCAATCAGGAGCCTTCAGTTTCCTATGACTATTTCTCTTGAAATAGTACTCTCAAAAATGGTTCATCTGAAAATTAAATGCAACCACAACATTTTCCCTGTACTCTACCTCTCTGTCTCTTTTTTTTAACTTGGAATAAGAGCTGTTGAACAAGGTTGTGTTTCCATTTCTACCAGCATTGGAGAGCAGCTGTGTTTCTTTTCCAGTACCTGGAAAGGTTATGAAGATGGGATTTACTAGTACTAGTGAGAGATGGCAAAGGAAGGAATGGTGCCACTTCTTTTTCTTTCACCAAAACCAAAATCATCCTCCCTTCTGCAGTCAGTTCCTCACTCGCCCATCTTTTTTTTTTCGCCTTTCATAATTTCTGAATTTTAGCTAGTTGGCTCTCTTTACTGTCTCCTATGTCCTCTTTTCTCCAGCTCCTGGAGACCTTCTGGGGATGCAGGAAAGCAACTGGTCCTACTGCTCGGGGGTAGAATTTCTGCTCTCTACCAGTTCACACACCTCAGGCATTGGGATTCCCCTTGTAGGATTGTGCCTGCAAGTCAGCTCACAGCACAAATGCTCCTGGCTGCTCTTCAGTAATAGGGGTTCTGGATGCTGACAGCATACAGGAAAAGGGTGTGTAAACCAGGTGAAGACAACATATTTTATCCTGGCCTTGTTACCTGTTTTTCATTTAATTTTTGTTGTTATTTTTATCTCTCTCAACTAGTTCAGTACCCACCGTGAAGACTACAAGCAGCAACAAAATTCTGGGGGTGTTCTGATAAAACCAAAAACCTTTATGACCACTTAATCTGGAGCAATTTTGCTTTTACCCTATCAGCATTAGTCAGTGATGTGTCTTGCTATGAAAAGAAGCTTCTTGTTTTTTAAAAAAGTATATTTCCACTGCTCTCATCTAGCAATCATCCATTTTTTCCCCTTTCATTCCTCATGCCAATACTTCAGCACCATACTTTTTCTTCTCTCTCTCTCACACAGTTGCATGCATACATCAAATTCTAAAAAAAGCAGTATTCTGAAACAGATTGTTGATCCATTAAATTAAATTTAGCAGGCATGGAATACATGTAAAATCATATTAACAAGAATGTTTCCTACTAAGAAAGAAACAGACACACAAACTTCAAATCAGCATTTGATTCACTTAAAATATTCACAGAGAGAAAACAGATGTTTCATCTGTCTTGTTCTAACACAATTTTCTGTGAAGCCATGTACATATATGCAGAATGTTTTTAAAAACTCATCCTTACTGACATTGAAACAAATCTGAAGACAAGAAAGATGTTCATATTCCTAAATATTTCCAAGGATTGAAAGGTTCTTGCCTGTTGAAAACTATGTTTAGAGATAAATAAAAAGATATAACTCATTTTTCTTTTGTTTTCTTTCTTTTTTTTTTAAAGGAATGCCACTAAAATCGTATGAAATCAGTCTTACTTCATGAGACATAATAGCTCAGCACATTGCTATTACTGATCTTGAGGACATTTACTAAAGCTCGTTCCCACCTAAGAACCTGGAGAGCTGAGCATATAAATTCAGCTGCCAAAGAAGGCTGAACAGATGGTGCTACTCTGCCAGGGAGCTGCGATGCAAGAGCACATAAATGAGAAAGCGGCCTCTCTGTGGTTTGCTCTGTTTACTACTTGGATTGATAATTGGAGTTGGGCAACCCTGGCTTTCAGACTGGGCCTTGGCTGAATTCAGAGGAACCCCACAGCAGTTTTTATTCAACATTAGCAATCAAATAAATATGGACAGGTAGTAGTAAAGTATCGATACAAAGGATTTTATAATACTTCTTAATGCAAATCAAAGTGAAAGGGAAAACATCGTGCCTTTTAATTCAGGTGTTCAAAAATGAACCTTCCCCCTTTTATCAGTTTTCAATTTGAATATTGCTCTATGCACACAAGTAACTCAAACTGCTCTATTTAACATCTCTAGAAACGGTCACTTTATCTACATTTTTTTCACTCTTTGCCTTGTTAAGCTGTAATATGAAATTAAGAGCAGATCTATTTTCCACCATAGCCAACGGGGGTCTCCTGATTGTCTTCTCTGGTGCTCAGAATAGGTCCATAAGCAGGAAGCAGAGGTATTTCAGTGTTGGGAAACCTATTCTCAGAATTAACATAACCTCTATTTAAGGAAACAGGCTAATTTTCCTTCAGTAAGTGAGGTCTCCATTCACCAAGAGCAAATTCAGAACCTGGATGCAGCTCCAACTTGTACACAAGGAAAAATGTATCTGGATGCATATGATTGAAATTTAAATCCATGTGCCTGCAACCCTCCCCTTCATCTCCCCTTTTTTCCCCTCCTCCCAAAGGTAAAGTGCCTTAACACTTGAAATAATTTCAAATTTTTGTCTTCAAACTGCCGAAGTGCACTCAGTGCTGTTAAGCAAACCTTTCATGCACAGGTAGCGAGAAATGAAAACAAACGTCAATTTATAATCTCACTGTTCAAACCAGCACTGAGAGGTATTTCCAGGACACACGGCTTTCCCACAAAACAGAGGATATATAGAGTTGGCTGACCTCATTCTTCAGATTTCTTGCCAAGAAGTGTTCAGCGACATGGGCCGGAAGCACGTTCTCCAGCAGCACTCGATTTAGATTCTCCATGGTTTCAATCTCCTCCCGCTCTTTTTTGAACTTGTTCTTCCACAGGAAGTCTAACCTACAGTAATATTCATTCTGTTACAAGAGGACACAGAGGTAAAGAAACAATAGGCATCTTGTCCTGCTGGAGTACACATTTAAGAGACAAAATAAGCACAGTACATCATCCCTACAAGGCTATCACCTCTTACCTCTTTGGCCATTCAAATACGATTCCATATCCAACAGGAATCAATCAGAAACACATGCCATGACATAGATTTCATGAAACTTACAAGGCCCAAACTTGGGGTAGAGAAAACAAACAAACAAACAAACAAAAAAAACCCGAGGGGCCCTCAAGGAATGAAAAAGCTTTTTTTTTTTTTCTTTTCTTTTCTTTTTTTTTTTTCTTTTTTTTTTTTTTTTTTCTGCCTTTTTCTTTTCTTTTCTTTTCTTTTCTTTTCTTTTCTTTTCTTTTCTTTTCTTTTCTTTTCTTTTTTTTTTAACTCTTAGACTTCGGAAGAATTCATTTCACAACTCAGATCCATTTTTTTACACTTTCTAACATAATATGCAGAATTTCTGTTACAATAACGGACACTGCAGTAAGACCCTAGCTTTTACAGACTTTATGTACCATATACAGACCATACATGTACAGACCATATGTCACACAATCAGCATTGTAAGAAGAAAGTAGTCCATAAAAGGGCAATCTGCCAGTACTAAATGCCTTCAGTTTAATGTAATATGTACTTTCTCCTCTTATGGACACACCAAAAGCTTCAATGCTTTTAGAATATTAAGAGATATTTTTAAATATTGTTTTTTAAAGTTTATCAAAAATTGTTGAGACAAGTATATATATATTTTTGATTTTTACACTGCTTAAAATATTAATTGTTTATCCTTCCCTTTTTTTTTCATAAAGGTTTCTCAGCAACCAAGCAATAGTAATAATAACTGTAGCTATATAGGAACTGCATTATATTATTGGAACATCAATATTTTTGGATCTCCATTTACATTAAATGTTTACAAATGCATAAACTCTTTCTGTAGAGTTCTCTATACTTTTTCTCCATATTGTTAATGTTTTGTGCTAAAATCCAGAGCATTATTTTTGATATATGCTTGACTATCTCACTGGAGAAGAAATACATCAAGATCCATTTCAATTCAGCCCAGCGGCTTAATGCTATCCTCAGGCTTCCATGAAGACCAAGTTATTGACCAGAACATAATTATCACGACAATCTTACTCTATAAAAACCTACAAATGCTTTTTAGTATTCTTAGTAGTCAATAGTTGTTTACAGTAAAAATGAAGGTTGTCCTTCTGACTGAAAGGTTCCTATTGCAGCTGTAAATGATTCTAAATAACTTGTTGACATAACAACCAAAGATAGAGCAGAAAATTACACTGAGATCACATTAAAATTATTTTGAAGCTTTCAAAGAGCAATGAAGGTGAAAATTGGTGAATTGAAGAATGTACCTGCCAACAACTGAAAAATGAAGTAAAAAAAAAAAAGAAAACCATGTGCTAGATGTCTAGAAACCAAACTATTCAAGCTGCCTTTAAATTAGTTGATGAAGGTTGGATATTATTTAGATATTTTAATAACCTAAAAAAAATCATCCACACTATTAAATCCTGAGTGATGAATTATTTTTCTGCTGATGCAGATCTTAAATGTACTAAAAAAGAAATATTCTGTCTCTTCCAAAATAAGAAAAATATTATTCTGAAAGTAGAATGGATCTTAGCATCCCATAACGTATGATCCTTCACCCCACAGACCTGCCTTGTCTTGAATAAATGAATAAGTGAAAAAGCTGAAAATATTGAAGTACTTACATGCTATTATAGGATATTTACAGATTATAAGCAAAAAAAGAGTGGGCAAGGACTTAAATACATGCAGAGACATGACAGAACATGAAGGGAAAGACCACCTGAAAACAGGCTTCTGCGGGAACTTGGAGAAAAGATTTTGCTGACGCACTCTTGTCATCATTCATATATCCAATGGCAATTAACCCTCCTATAAAGACTTAGGTCACAGACAGCTTTTTCTCAAAACTGATCACACAATGTAAAATGCATGCAGCCCTTTTTTAAGAATGTCTTTTATATTTAAAGTGAGAGAAATATTTAAATTCTTACATCTCCTTCTTCCAAACATACTTAACAAGTGCCAATTTAGCAAGAATAAGCAAAATGGCCACTCTATCCGAGTTCCCCACATAAAGAATAATGGTGAAGGTGACCAACTAGATTCATGCAAAAGTCCAATAAAAAACTGGGGTGTCAAAAATCTTGGCATGTTTGTCCAAAGTAAACTGGATGCCTAAAATAAAACTGAAATTGGGTGTTTATAATTGTATCATATTTGTATTGAAAAGAAACAGCGTTAGATAAGCTGAAGTTGTTAAAAAGATATTTCACTTCTTTAAGACATAATATTAAACATAACTTATTTACTCTTATTTATTGAATTATATATAGGCTCTCAAAAATATGGCAAGGAGAGCCTGGGAATAATTCAGCACAATGTACTCTACAAATTAGCTTTGAAATTACATTCTTCAAAATACCCATGACTTTTAAAGAAAACAAACAACCGCCTCACTAAACCTTACTTTAAATTGCATTTTTATTGTTTGTATGATGTATCCCAATTAAAGGTATTAAAGATATTGTTCAAATTTTCAATTCTTACAGACATATGAAAGCCAAGATTGTCCATACTTCTAATGTTAACTGCGGAACCCTTTCAATACGAATATGTTAAAATGGCCCTTTTACCTCAGCCAGCGACATCAGCAACCACAGCACCCCTGAGATAGAAAAAGTTGCTTTCTTCACTAACATAATCACCACATCCCTTGACAGCAGTTCTCTGCTGGTGGGCACAGTGGGCCATCAAGTGAGGCATGAAGGACATTGCAGGCATGGCCGAGCTATTGGCTTTCTCTAGGACAAGAGGCTACTGTGCATCTCTGCAAGGCAATGCAACCCAGAGGTTTCCATCAGCAGTAATTTGTTCCTGGGCAAAAGCAGTTCAGCGTAACAAGAATTCATTCACTTCTTATTGCATGATTGCCCAGAGCTGGATTTAGCTATATTTTTAAATTCTAGTGCGACAAAGATCAGCTCTATTTTTGGCATTTGCCTCAGAGTGAGATGAACTAATTCTCATCACTGACTAAACAGAAAGTCAAGATAGGCAGTTCATGAGGGACTATGACATGGGTGTCTATAGATATATGTGATGAATCCTGGGGGATTCAGTAAGGGTCAGAGTGATGGGAGAGGCCTCAAGCAGATAAGATCACTGCAAATTCAACACACATTTTCATTTAGGTGAGGAAGCTAAGGAGACTAAGTGTCCCTTGTACCATCCCTGGCCCATGCCCGTTTGCATTCTCCCAAGCACTGCCCAGGAAGGCTTTAAGAGTCAGCATTCTTCAATGCATCATTTTTGAAGGACTATTTTAAAAGGAAGAATGCATGCAGACTGCAATGTGACCTCAGTGCCAGAGAATAGTTCTGGAAATGGTTTGCTTGCCACCCTAAACTAGTATAGCCATCAAAAAGAAGCAATTCTGCTTTCCTTGCTTTACTCTGACTGCTCACTTCCAGCCCAGGATAATTCTTCTGGCACAAGAATTGATGCAGTCACAAAATAAAACTAGATCAGGAAGCATCTGGCTGAAAAGGATCATTTTCCCAGGGTTAATTTCTAAAGCCAGATCATTTCCCTATTTTGGGCCAACTATACAGTTCCCAAAGTAGCTGTGCCAGTTCAAATTAGGAGATACAAGGACAGAAATGAATGGTTACCTCTCCTAGTAGTTATTTGGGTTATGTAGCTTCAAGTATTAGCTGACCCCAACAGTTGTTAAGTTTGCTGATATAACTTGTAATGCTATGCTAGTTTTCCACACCCCTTCGTACATATGCATATATGTATGTATGTATACATAATAAATATATATTTTTATTTATTTATTTTACATAAAAATCAGCACTTGTCTGGCCTGTGAGCAGGTACTTGTGAGAAACCATTTAACTGTTCTTAACTTTCCAGTTACTCACTCCGAGGACAGAGAAACATCGATGCCAGTACAAGAGAAGCCAAAAGACCACTCTTTTCATTGATGGTTTCCCATTAGGTCAGCACAGCACAGCTGATCTAGTGGGGAGCTCTGAGTTTAACATTGTTAAAATAATCAATTAGGTATTGAGAGACAAAGAGTAAAAAAAAAAAAAAAAGACATTGTTACTATCTGCAAAGTTGAAAAATGTGATAGCAAATGGAGAAATGACTTGTATATAACCCTCAGTGGAAGATGTGTGCTGGGATATGTTAAGGCTCAACAAGAACTATGACGGAAGATGGCTGCAGTTGGCCGTGAAAACAATGTCTCTACTAAAGACATGATTTTGCTGTCCAGCAGAGCAACAAACATTAGTTCCCATATTCACGTGTCCTTGAGAATATGAACTGCAATGTCAGAGACTAAGCTGTCCTTTTGTGAAAAATGTTCTTCCACTGAATATTTCTGTTTGCCTAAGCAGATGCTGGTGAGAAATGTGGTGTTGTTTTCCTCCATTTTATATAATACATTTAGGATCAGTTGTGTCTGATACCTGGGGAAGTTGAAAGTTTGTCTAAATTCTAAGAAGCAACAGAAAAAGAAATGCTTGTCTCAGACTTGTCTGTTTTTCCAGTACCTGATCTAAAAGATCTGCTCTTCTATTCTAACCCCATCCTTTTCCCCAAGATCCTTTTCCTTTCACAGTAGGATTAAGGCATGGACTTGGCATGGATCCTAGCGATGAAGGAAGAGTATCAAGGTATCTGCTGGAAGGAGAAAGTGAGATCTCCTCTTGAAATGGAATGGATAGGAGGCAGGTGGATGTAGGAGGAACAGGGGTATCCAGTAAGAAAACCTGCAACAATAACTCCCATCTCTTTCCTGGGTGGAGATGGTTTTATTTTGCCTACATTGCTTGAGCTGGTTCTACAAGGGATGCTCACAAAAGCAATAAGCAGAAAGTTTAATAACGAAAAAGAAGAAGGGCAATTTCACATGTCATTTTATTAAATTGTGAAATTCATATTATGCCTTATGAAGAACAGGGAGATAAAGCGAGGTTAAAAAGGAATTAGGCTTCTCAATAGAAAGTAGAACAATCAGTACCTACTAAACATTGTCACCAGCAAATGTGGGAAAAATACAATGTGCACCTGAGAATGTGGCAGCAACATCGCTTCACTGAATGGTCACATCATGCAGGTGCCTTTTCTCCTTCCCTGTTCTCTCCCTAAGCATTCGCTACCAGTCAGTGTCACTAATGGAAACATAGAAAGGCAAGGCTTATGTGAAGTTTGTGCTAAAACTGATTCGAAGTATGCCTAATTATTATTTAGACTTATGCTGAAAATGCTGGAAAATGTACAGGGTTTTTCTCCCTCTTCTTTAAGAGACAATAAACCAGTGGAAAAATTAAAGGCAACAGACTGAAAATTCACACACACAGAATTATGACAAAAATCTAGACTTAAAGCCCCCCAAGACAAAGATTGCTAAAATATTAGAGGATAATTTTTCCATCAATGTGACAGACACACTCAAACTGTTGCACCATGCAAAATACAAAGTTTCTTGTTGATGTAACTCAACCCTGATCTTTGTTTAGTGAGGATGATGTTCCTTCTTTCTCCTTTCTAATTGACATGACACACATCATCCACCCTACCCTGAACCCTACCTGGTTGCTAGCACAGTGGGCTGGGATTGCAGCACTTAGCCACAGGTAGGCCTGAGGATCTAGGAGAGAACTGCCCTTGCACATGCCCTCAACTCCATACAACGTAAGATATCAAGTTTCTACTGAAAAACACCACTGGGTAATGAAAAGAGTAGTTTCCCGTTGGTTAATAGTTTCAATACAACCGTGACCTCAGTATGTGGTACATTTGATGTGCATGCTACATTATTTCTGTGTCCGCATCAAATGGTAATAACTGTGAAGAAAATAGCTTGTAATTAACCAACCAGGGAGCCAGCAGATGGATGCAGACAGATGGGAGCACACTTGGAGGCTGTGAGACAATACTGGTCAGCATGGTGGACAATAGGCACAGCACTCTATCCATGTAAAACCCACACTCTCCACCACATTTATTGCAGAGATAAGATTTAAGAACATATCTGAGGGCAATAAAGGAAATCACTTTTTAGATGCTTCCAACACTTCTTTGCAATGTTGGTTACATAAAGGCATGGAGCAGAACAGAAGGGAAAAATCTAAAAAATTTTTGAAAAGATGGGAAAATAATGTTGGGTGCACTAATGCAGATGAAGAGAACTATACATCTTACCTGTCTACCCAAAACCAGCAATGTGACAAAGAATATAAACAGAGAAATGGAGCCCATTGTCTTCAGGTCTTTCAGTATGCCTGGCCTACAAAATAAGAGGTTTAAATTCAGCAAGATACTCAAAAGTTGAAACAAAATTCATTTGGCACAAGAATAATGAAAATACTGCAATTTATACTGCTTTCTGGCATGCAAACTGAGACCATTTTAAATCGAGACCATTAGGAATATTCCTTATTATTTGATGAAATACAATTATTTTCATAATAAAAAATTATTAAGTTCTAAAACAATCTGTGCAAATGTGCCTATATATTTATACTAAGATGAGAAATTCTTCTTTGCTTGTGAATGGAGACTATTTGGTGCTTATTCTGTACAGATAAATTAAAGAGTTTTTTTTAAATGTAATAAATTACTTTCATAAGGGAGAGCCTGAGTGCATCTCAGGTATGTGAAGAAATGGAAGGTGGAGCACTTACTTTCTAAGATGTCTTTTTATTTCAGAACCACAAGAGGCACCAGCTAAATCTCATATACAGTTTATTAAAACTATGCTTTGGGAAAAGATACCAGAGGTAATAAGAAACGTTCCACACTACCGATGCCACCAGAAGAAC